GTACATTTCCAGAAGTTAATGAAATGCGTAATTCCCCATCCCTCTCGAAAAGTCTACCGCTGGTGGATGAGGAGGGTACCCTGGCTGGGTCAGCTGCAGGAGAAGTTCACTACCGGAGACAGAGTGTGGGTCACATGCATGGATCCTGGTTTTTTACTTCATTGCACAACCAGGGGAACTCGGTAGTGAGCTCACATTTGCCCCGGGGAGGGAAGTGGGCGCGGTGATGTGGATACGGGGAATGTACCTCGGTCAGCACCCTGGTGTTGCGGCCTTAGGAAGGCAGATGGGACATGTTGGGCCAAGTTCTGAATTCTGCCTTCCCACACGGAAAGACTGGTAGAAGGGACGGGGCTTGCATGTGTCATAAGCGAGGGACAGGACGGCTGGGCGGTGATATCGCGGTGGAACGTGTAAGCCACGGTTGTTGCAAAGACGAAGGTAATTTTGAGGAGGTCTGCAGTGTAAAGTGGACGATGGAGGGTCAGAGGCTGAGACTCTTTACATTTTTTTAATGTTTATTTATTATTTTGAGACAGAGAGAGAGAGAGAGAGACAGACAGACAGACCAAGAGGGAGACACAGAATTTGAAGCAGGCTCTAGGCTCTGGGCTGTCAGCACAGAGCCTGACACAGGGCTCGAACTCACTGACTGTGAGATCATGATCGGAGATGAAATCACTTACAGTATAGGGCGTATGGTATAGGGTATACAATACACCATGTAGAGTACAGAAGAGATAAGAAAAGAAACAAAAGAGAAAACTCTGATGCTTGCATTTTTAAGAAACCGATATGTATTTGTGCAGATTGTGTTCATCTGCTGGTGGGGAAACTGTCAGCACCGACAGGGTGTGAATCACTTGAAATCAACCCCTCGAGACCAGGAGCGAGTAGGAGGGAGCAAGAGTCTGGGGAAGGGAGGCAGGCTGGGGAAGCCAGGCTTCAAAGCCCAAGGAGCAGCTACAGAATGTGTAACTGGACTTACTGTTGATCTTGGAGATCTTCCAGACTTTGTCAGGAACGGCTTGTTTGTGGATCTCAAATTTGAAAGGGTCTGTATTTGGGTGAAGGTCCTTATCTGATGCTCCCAAAATGACTACGCTGAGGTTTTTGGCATCATCACAGACTTCAGCCACCGTGGGGTAGATGAAGGGGGCGTTGTCGTTGACATCCTCCAGAGTGATCAGCAAAGTCCCGGTGCCTGTAGCGGGAGGGTTGCCTACGGGGCAGAGAGTGAAGGTGTTAGCAGGGAGCTGCTGCAAGAGACCTCTGTCACCTGCTTTCCTCCAGTGTGCTGGCCACCTGCTAACAGGTTTCGAACAGGACTGAAGACAATAGCTTATGCATCTGTATAAAGTCGAGTGGTTAAAAGCCTTTTCTCATATATAAAACCTCCGATTTAAATTCTTTAGCACACGGGGGCGCCTGGGTGGCTCAGTCAGTCAGTTGAGCGTCCAACTTCGGCTCAGGTCATGACCTCGCAGTCTGGGAGGTCGAGCCCCGCGTCGGGCTCTGTGCTGACAGCTCGGAGCCTGAGCCTGCTTCGGATTCTGTGTCTCCCTCTCTCTCTGCCCCTAACCCATTTGCATTCTCTCTCTTTCAAAATAAATAAACATTAAAAAAAATAAAAATACATCAATTCTTTAGCACACTAGCCATAATTACAAATTAGAGGCAAAGAATGGAGATAGCAAATGGGACCTGTCCTCACTTACCAAATGAAAGCTTTATCTAAATACCCGAGTATTCACATGTGCTGTTGGGACAGGGGAGGATGGAGGTCCCATGAGAGGAGGCTGTGTTTTGCACGTATGGAATAGTTCTGCCTTGACTGGCCAGTTGACTGGAGAGAGAAGGAGCTAATCTGGGGTTTTCCTCTGTGGGTGAAATGGGTCTGGGGGGCTGGCCTGGGTGGCCTGCCAGCATAGGACAGATTTAGAAAGTCAGGTTAGTGACGAGAAACAAAGTCACTAGCTGGCTACTGGGACAGATGAAGCGACCGTAATATAATCTTTGGGTCTTATTTTTAAGGCCTTGCGTTTTCAATATTTCCGCGACTTCCACGTTTTTTACTGGAGGGAACATTATTTTTAAAAAGCCATTCTAATTACCCAGGTGATAGTGTCTTTCACTCAAAGAAAAGAATGTTTCATTTCAGTAAGACTCAGAGTGACTTTACTTCCTTTTTCCTAAATTTATTTATTTTTTTTTTTAAATTTTTTTTTTTTTCAACGTTTATTTATTTTTTGGGACAGAGAGAGACAGAGCATGAACGGGGGAGGGGCAGAGAGAGAGGGAGACACAGAATCGGAAACAGGCTCCAGGCTCTGAGCCATCAGCCCAGAGCCCGACGCGGGGCTCGAACTCACGGACCGCAAGATCGTGACCTGGCTGAAGTCGGACGCTTAACCGACTGCGCCACCCAGGCGCCCCCTAAATTTATTTTTAATCAGCTATGCATTAGAGATTTTGTCTTGGGACAAACCATTCGTTAATAGTTCCTAATTTCTGTGAGAAAGGTTAGATCGAAATTGGCAGGCCACACATCGTAAGCGTATGGATTTGCCCTATTCCAAAAAGGATTTGGCGCCCCCGTCAAATATGGTACTCGAATTTTATGCACTATTACCAACCTAAATTGTCGGGCTCGGTTTAATTTTTCCTATCCTCAGTTGTACTTAAAAAGCCCAGTGTTATTTTACTTCCTACTGTGTTTATTTCTTGAAATGCACAGTAAGATTAAAGTCGAGTTATGAATCATGCGGGGGTTCGAAGGGTGGTGAACATTTGAGCTCAGGGTACAGGTATCACGTGCAAGGCAAGGCATGGTCTGACAGATTCCGCCGGTAAGGAAATGATGAGACCTTTTTAGAATCAGGCAGGTTATTCCGCCATCAGCTAGACAGTAAAAGGGCGAGCAGGCAGAGGTGGCCCCTGCGCAGGTGTCTTTAAGCCAAAGGGACCAGGTGACTACAACCTGGAGCCACTGGCAAGCTGCTTCCCAGCAGTTTGTAGCCTGCAGCTGTGCCCTAACAAGGGCAGGCAGGAAGCCTAATCTCTCATCAACCCAGAAGGAGATGGCAAGCTGTCTGGTGACAGCCTCCCAGGGGACCCAGGGAGGCAGGTGAGAAATAGCAGTTCCTACAAGCCTGCTGGTCCATGTGGATACATGCAAAGTCATCCGGTGCCATCACGGGCCGCACCCTAGTGCAGAGCACATGGCAAGATGGCAAGGAGATGAGGCTGAGCGTGTCTGGCAGGACAGGGGGCCTTGACCACACGAAGTCACCGGAGGTTTTTCAGAGAGATGGCAGAACATCTGCCCTGATTTATGGAAACACACGTGATACTGGCAGGAGATGTTGGACGTTGGAGGCAGGGAGACCAGCGATAGGTGGTCATGATGTCACAATGTGGGCGAGTTGGAATAAGAAAGAAACGTCTTTTTTGGGCGCCTGGGTGGCTCAGTCAGTTAAGTGTCCAACTCGCGATTTCAGTTCAGGTCACGATCTCACGGTTTGTTGAGTTTGAGCCTCGCATTGGGTGCTGTGCCGACAGCGTGGAGCCTGCTTGGGATGCTCCCTCTCCCTCTCTCTCTGCGGCCCCCCACTCATGCTCTCTCCCAGAAGTAAATAAGTAAGCATTGAAAAAGGAAGAAAGAAAGAGACGTCTTGGTGATCATGCACTCAGATGAGGCTGCTCGCAGAAAAGCGGAAGGTAGTGGGGAGCGCAGAGACGTGAGTTCAGCTCTGATTGGGCGAACAGCCCCTCAAATTCAGTGCGCCCGTGTAAAAGCGCACAGAGCTTAGGAGACACGCCAGCGCTGGGTAGCGATGGAGGACTTGTCAGCAGAGAGGCTTTGAAATAGTCCTAGCCCATCAGGCAACGCGACGTGACAGGGCAGAATGGCCAAGGGGTGAAGGGTGAGGAAACCCCGGAGTTTAACGAGCGGCTGGTGGCTTGCAGAAGACAGAGGGGACGTAAATTGGAAGAGGAGGCAACGGACGGCAGTGAAATGTGTCGTGACGCCCCAGAGGATAAGGGGTAGAGAGAAGCCACGGGATTTTGCAAGGAGAAGGAGACTGATGACTTCTCTCTGAGAGCCTTCCACTATGGAAGAACCAGCTGGAAGGAAGCCGGGCAGTGAGTCAAGAAGTGACAATAGAGACTTTTTAGCGGGGCTGGTGGAAATGTAAATATATCAACACCCAGGGAGAGTTTTAGAATAAGCATTCCAATAAATAGCTGCTAACGTCGAAACACAAACGTCAGTCACCAGCAGAAGGATGGCAACTTCTCATGGTGGCACACCACCAACTTTGGTTGGATCGAGAATTCAAAAGAAATGGGGCGCCTGGGTGGCTCGGTTGGCTAAGTGTTTGACTTCGGCTCAGGTCATGATGTCACGGTCCGTGAGTTCGAGCCCCGCGTCAGGCTCTGTGCTGACCGCTCAGAGCCTGGAGCCTGTTTCCGATTCTGTGTCTCCTTCTCTCTCTGCCCCTCCCCTGTTCATGCTCTGTCTCTCTCTGTCTCAAAAATAAATAAACGTTAAAAACAAAAAAGAAATGTGTAATTACTTTGAGCTTGGCTTTCCACTGTCAGCTTGTCTTTGGTAGAATTTCTTAATTGGAAAATTATTTTTCTTTTTTTTTTATTGAATAAGTGAGCATCTCAGAAGAATCCATTATATTTTTTTCCTCTCTGAATATATCATGAATATATTCCACTCTGAGTATACCATGATGAAGTGCCATCATTTGGTAGAATGGATGAGAAGGCATTAGGAGATAGCTCCAGGGGCCCCGCAAATATGGAAGCTTCTGGGTTTTGGCAAAAATCTCCCTCCCCTTCTCATCCCTTTCTACTGGCCATCGTCAGTCCCCAGCGGCCTACTCAGCAGGACCAAATGTCAGCACCAAAGCATGGGTGAGAAATCCTCTCCTGTGGATTTTCGATCTCAGTAGGGAAAAAGCTTCAATTTGAGCAAAACTCCCAGGATGTGGAGCTAGAACTGTGATTCCTCTTCCTTGAAGCCCCCCTCCGCCAGGAGCCCATGGGCCATGTTCTCAGGGTAGCTTCTTTAAGGATCAGAGGACATTCATCCTCTGGAGGGGTCACCTGTGGTTGCCGGGGCTCCCGTCTTCATAGGTTAGAAGATAGAAAGGCCCCTGAGAGACGGACCATTCCTGGCAGTGGATTTTAAATGGAATGGGAGGTGGGTCCTCCTTTGGGAGTTTGGTGAAGGCCATGGTCCTGCTTCCAGAGAAAGGCACCTACATTCACAGAAGGTACTGCAGACCTTGTAAGTACAGCTGTAAGTTCAGGCAGCTGGTCTGGGATACCTCTGTTCGTGAGTATTTTGTTTTACTCAGAATCCTGACCAAATAGGATTTCCACTTTAGCCAAAAAATACTGATTTTCCTGATAGATTCCATTATTTAGACACCAGATGTGTGTGTGTGTGTGTGTGTGTGTGTATGTATGTATAATTTATGTAGCTACATATCTATACATCATCTATATATCTTATTGGTAAGAGACACAACTAAAAACAAAGTGTAGGGGCACCTGGGTGGCTCAGTAGGTTACATGTCTGACTTTGGCTCAGGTCATGATCTCACAGTTTGGTTCCTGAGATCAAACCCCACATTGGTCTCTGTGCTGACGGCTCAGAGCCTGGAGCCTGTTTCAAATTCTGTGTCTCCCTCTCTCTCTGCCTCTCTCTCAAAAATAAATAAGCATTAAAAAAACCCACATAGTGTAATCCTAATTAAAATATCTATAATTAGAAAAAGATTAGAAAGAAATATACCAAACCTAGTGATTTTTGCTCCAGGTAATTAACATTAAAATAATACTTTAAAATTTTTTCTTTATAGTAACTATGTCCATTGTAATAATCAGAAACAGAAACGTAAATTCAGGGGCGCCTGGGTGGCGCAGTCGGTTGGGCGTCCGACTTCAGCCAGGTCACGATCTCGCGCTCCGTGAGTTCGAGCCCCGCGTCGGGCTCTGGGCTGATGGCTCAGAGCCTGGAGCCTGTTTCCGATTCTGTGTCTCCCTCTCTCTCTGCCCCTCCCCCGTTCATGCTCTGTCTCTCTCTGTCCCCAAAATAAATAAACGTTGAAAAAAAAATTTAAAAATTAAAAAAAAAAAAAAAGAAATGTAAATTCAAAAGTTATACAGAGGTTTAAAAATATTTTGGCAACTCTTTCTTTT